TACGTTTTATTTTATAGTATTATACTTCTTTTTAGGTTTAATAAAGTATAAAAGTAAAACGTAAATAAAACCTAAAAAGAAGTATAATATTATAAAATAAAAGTATTATTATAGACTAGCTATACTATACTACTATAAGTATACGTCTTTAAAAAGTAAGAATAAACTTAAGAAGAAAGAGAAAGAGAAAGAAAGGTTTCTCTCTTTTTACCTTTCTTTATATTTTTACTTAACCTATAAATTATTTAAGTTAAGTCTAAGTTACCTTTATATTAAATTTAACTTAAGCTTAAGCTATTAACTTAAGCTTATAATATACTCTCTTACTTACTTAAGCTTTTTTAGTATTTAATTAATAATTATATAAAGTGTATTATACTCTCTTTTTATCTCTTATATTTATTTATTTTTATCTCTTTATAAGAGTAAAATAAATTAAGTATAAAATAAATCTCTTATAATATCTTCTTTTTATTCTTTATAACTTTTATTCTTATCTTTCTCTTAAAATAATTTTAAATTTTATTACACGTATTTTCTTATAAAATTTATTTATTAAGCTTTTAAATTAATCTCTTTATTCTTACGTTATTTCTTATATTAATTTAAAAGAAGAAAACAATAATATAACTAGTATTATTAATACTCTTTTACTCTCTTTTATTTTACGCTTTAAGCGTTATTTAAGTAACTTTATTATAAAAGGTAACTTTAATAAGAATATCTTTATTTATAACTTAAGAAGCTATTATTCTTAATATATCTCTTACGTTTATTATCTATTATAAGAGCGCTATTATTTACTAGAATTCTAATTATTAAGTAATAGTTACGAATTTCTATTATAATTAAGCTAATATTACTTAAGCTTTTATTTTTATATTATTAGGAGATCTAAGAATAGAGTTCTTTCCTAATTCCTTACCTAATCGTCCCATATCCTAGGTTTATCCTAATAAAAACTATATATAGTGTAGTTTTTTTGTTAGTACTCTAGTTAAGATTAACTAGGTTAGCTTACTCCTTCTAAATTAGGCTAAGATCTAGTATTAATAGAGGGAAAGATAGCTAAAAAGCTTAAAAGGCTTAAACACGTGAAATGGTTTCTCTTAGGCTATTTAATTAAGGTTTAGGGATATATTAAAGGAAGTAAGAAACTTAAGAAAGCTTAAAAAGCTTAAATATAATAATAATATTACCTAATTCTTAACGTTCTTAATCAATCTTAACGAATTAATCTAAATATCTAGTATTACCCTTTAAAAGTATATTATAAAAGCCTTACCTTAAAAGATTATTAAGCTTATATACTCTTTTTATAAAGGAA